GGTGTTCGTTGCGTGGGGGGGGGGGGGGGGGGGTGCCTCCTTCAGTGCACGTAATGTGGAGACGGTTATTCAGTATTCCAACACTGAGCAGAAAGAGGCAATGGCAGCAGAACCTTGAGGCAGTGGGAGCTCACAGTATCCAGGCTGTGAGAGCAGGCTGATTCCACAGAGGATGATTGCTCAGCGTTTCACAGGTAATAGTGGGACACTGAGCAATCAAAAACCCCACTGCTTTATTGTGAGAGCTGGTGTGAGTGGGGAGGAGCAGCCTGGCGCCCCTGCGTGTGAGGCTGCTGGGTTCTGGAGTGTTCTGAGGTGAGTATATCACAACCTGTCTGTGCAGTCACTTCTCTTTGCCTCCACTGTATTGCTATTGCACTCCAATTCACTGTCAGTTCTGCCCCAGCTCTCTTCTCCTGGTTGCTCATATTTTCTCATAGTGTCTCCGCTGCCCTACTCTATGGCCATTTTCACCCAGGTGATTTTTTTTACTACTCTCCTCCTCAATGTATTTACTCTTCTGTTCTGTTGCCATTCTCCAATTCATCCTTGATAACTTCTCCTGCCTCCATTTCACTGTCATTGTTCTACTCTTTTGTGCCTGGTTTTGTCCCTCTCCTCAATGTTTTCTGAAAAGTCACTCTTCTGCACCTCCAGTGCCTGCATTAATTCCCTTAGTAAACCTACTCTCTCTGTCCCTCTCCTTTTCACATTATGGTGACAGTCGCATGAAGACCACCTCAGGTCTAGCACCTGTATACCCCTTATGAAACAGGGCAATTTTTACATTTCAGCTATGGGCTATTGATTTGGCAATAATTTTTGTCACTTATAATACCTAAGAAATACACATATCAACCTCACAGCCATTCTCAGTGATTTCACTGAATTTGGACAAGTTCTCTTTACTTTCTGCCTTTTTAGGGGCAAGACAGAACAGGAAGTTTGAGACATTCCTCTTCATTTGCTGGCTATTTGACAAAGGTTATAAGCGGAAGGGAGGGAAAATTCCCCAATGTGAAACATTCCCTCGAAAAGAAAATAAATTTTTTAGTCGGGTAAAGAAGGTTTAGAACGTTTAGTCTGTCAGGACTTTATTGCTGTTTGTGTCCCTATTTGGCAGATTTCTCCTCACTTCCTGTCCAGACAGCAGGTGTCTAATAGAACAAGAAGCAAGGGCAAATCCCATTTTTCATTGTTATGTATGTGTTTGTATGATCAAAATTTGGGAGAAATAGGCAAACACACGTGAAGAAATGCGAAAGGAACTACTCCCAAGCAACAGCAAGATCACAAAAACAGAAACACGTGGGTGACTGAAGGTACCCACAGACATTTGCCCATAGACATTAGGATCACTACCTGATTATATCTAGATAGAACCTAAAACATCTTACATAATTTTTTTAAAGGCCAGTTCACACTGATTTGCAGTGGTAACACACATTATGTGCATCCATAAGCTGGGTTGCATTCGTTTTAAATGGCACCCAAAGCACTAAGGTAATGCATCTGCACTGCAGTAAGTGTTACTGAAAAAGGGTCAAGCGTGGTTTTGTCTGCTCTGGGTTGAGCTGGCAGTCCTTTCAGAATGAATAGGCTGCCACAACACACATTAACGTGTAAGGTAATGTGTGTTTACATGTGTGCATTACCCTCATTGGAACAGTGTGAACCCAGCCTAAATAATTTTCTAGACTATTTGAATATTTGGTTTTTAATTCACCTGGTCTTTGTGTGGGTCTGGGTGGCTCAGTGATCCTTGATGATGTAGTGCTAGTCCTGGCAGTAGTTGTCCTTTTGGTTGTACTTTTAGTTGTTGATTTTGGAGTGCTTCTTGTACTTTTAGTTTGAGACATTGTAGTCCTAGATACTGTGGTTGTCCTGCGACCAGGGGAAGTTGGTGGTTTAATAGTGGATGCTCTTGTGGTGGTGGTCAAGGGAGTTGTTGAAGGAACTGAGGACTTTGGAAGATTCATACCACTATCAGTTGTCCTCAGTACAGGAGCCACTGTATCGAGTATCCAGTCCTTGAGTTTGGTAACTCTACTATAAACCCCTGGCTTTTTCACCTGAGCACATCCAATACCCCAGCTTACAATGCCTGCCAAGAAGAAAACACCTGGGCTCTCTTCACATGCCAAGGGTCCCCCAGAATCGCCCTTTAAAATAAAAACTATACGTAAGTAGAGAAATTTGGGTGCAAATATTTTTGGTTATTAGCAATTTAGTCTTACCTGACAAGAATCCACTTTACCATCAAGGAAACCTGCACAGATCATCCGTTCAGTAATGGAAAAGTTATAGAGGACACTGCACATTTTCTGGTCTATTATCCCCACCGAGGCTTTCTGCAAAACCTCAGGTTTCGACACTATACAAGAGATAAGTGTTAATCAGACATACAACAGAAAAAGCCCTTACACAATCACGTACACACATACACATGCACAATCACACACATAGACACAAAGGTTGAACTTGATGGACCTGTGTCTTTATTCAACCTCAAATTCTATGTAACTATGTAACAATCAAAGCAAGGTTTGGCCCAAATATAAACAGACAGAATTACTTTTTTTTAGATCAAAATAGTCCCCATATGATTTTCCCATGGGTATAATATACATACCATTGCCTTCTTTGATGTTGCCCCATCCAGAGATCATGCATTTCCACCCAGCTGGAAACTTCTGTAGGGCTGATGGAAGGCACACGGGCTGTACAAGCTTATTAAAAGTCAAAGGGCTTGATAACTCCACTACAGCCACATCGAAGTCCAAGGTCAGTGGATTGAAGTGAGGATGCTGGATCACCCTCTTCAGGTTGATTTTTACAGCCATGCTGTCAGCTCCATTAAGTGCTGTGGAGCCCATATGGGCAGTGACATGGTCCAGTTTAGTTCTGAAGAGACCAAGGATAACAACATTTTTCAGCTTAAAAGTGAGGTAATCTGTGAAGATCTTTACAAGTTCACACACCGATGTTCCTACTTAAAAGTCAATAGCATTTTTTAAACAGATTAATTTTATTGAACATTGATTATTGATTTTATTGATTATTGAACATCCTGTGACAAGTGATGTACAGTTTATTTAAAAAAATGTGGTGTTGTACACCTATAGATGAATTGCTAAACACAGTGTTTGTATGCCATTGCCTGTGATTTGGGATTATGAGAGTGGACACTACTTCACTCTAATAGGGGAAGAAATACCATGTATCTGTTGTGCTACTCCAAATAAAGCCATAAACAATCTTCACAGCAAAAAAAAAAAAACTTTGCTGCATTACAACCCTCCCCCCTCCACAAACATGTAAAGGAACCACTTTTTTTTCTTTAGTTACCCTTTTTTTATTTTTTTGTTCCACATTGTCGCGTGCCTCCATTCTCGTCTAGGCGAGAATGACCTCAGCCCTGCTCCAGCAGGCTCACGGGATATCTACATCAGATATCTCAGGAGGCATCCGCACCCAAACAGTGGCTGGTGGAGGGTGGATTTGATGGGGCATCATCAGGGAGTAAGCTGCATTCATGCAGAAGAGACAGTCGGCTCCCAGTGACACGCGTTTGGTGGCAGATCTGCAGTTCACAGCAGGTCAATGCTGTATTTGCTGGGTGTATGAGTATGTTAAGCAATCACCGTTCACCCACATTTTCTCTTTATGCCAAAGGAAAATACACAAACTACTGACATGATACATAAATGTATCAGTTATTTAGGACTGCAATGAGAATGTAATTTTAATGCAGCTGTCAAAAATGTATTTAACGCATACTTTGGTATGCCATTCAGATATTCTTACAGACACTTCACTGTAATTAGGGTACTCACTGGTTAAAACAATGAGCAGCAGAGACCAACCATCGATCTCCAATTATTGTTGCTCCACAAAAGTGATGTGGACCCTCCTTCAGACTGGCCTGCCATGGGACTTCCCCTCTGACAGCATCAAATCCACCCACTATCTTGTTGGGTTTTGTTAGGCCAGGACGACTTCCACATTCTGTAATGAAAAAAAAATTCTAATTTATAAACATAAAATATTTCCTTCTTTTAATTGTAATTTCTGTCAAAATAAAATATACTGTATGCAGGCTGCCATTGTTGAGCTCCAATTTCGAGATATCTGTCCGTCAAGGTCTATGTGTTCAATACAGTCTGAATCACTGGCTTGGAAAATGAAATGCAGCAAGTTAAAATGCACCTGTTCCCAAGAATATATAGCATTTTTTAGTCTAAGCTTCTCTTAGCATAGGTTTCCTTTAAATGAGCTATGATACTTGATCCTGGCTGACATAATCTGCAGAAGTACCATAACAACTTTAAGACCCTTCCTGTCCAGGCTATTTTTTTAGTTTTCAGTACTGGAATAGTCCCCATCCTGTGTTGTAAGAGAAAGGGGAGGGCTTAGCAATGTAATTATTGACATGTGATTGGTGTGATGACCAATCATAGTGATCACAAGGTACAGAGCTGACTTGTGCCTGTAGCTGATACTCTCCTCTCAGCTGGGTGCACGCACACAGGGTACGTCCATTCAGAATAACTACTACACCTACTGGCCATTTTTTCACAATGGCCAGTATGAAAATAGTTAAGGTGCACCTGTGCCCAGAGAACATTAAACTATTTACATATCCTTAACAAGCAGCAAATGAGCTTTGAAACAAGCCACCCCTGACCTCTCTAGCTGCTTGTACTGTGACGTAATATATTTTCGAAGTTCCTTAAAAAATCCCAGCAAAGACTCGTAAGTTGGGTTTTAGTCTTTTTTGCATTGAAATGGTGACAAGCAGCCAAGATTTGCTTTCCATAAAGAAAAGCTGAGATGTCATTCGCTCTTTTGTGTACTTTGCAAATCATTTTCTTCAGAATGCCTATAACTATAGCTACAGAGGTGAGTGAGGGCTTGTTTTAATATGCAAATACTTTAGTGTGCATAGACTGGGCACAGGTTCCCTTTAATGTTGTTTTATAGTAAAAACAAATACATCTAAAATATATAATAACTTCTGCACTAGCAAATCTTTAATAAAAAGCTAATAACTATCCCCTTTAATGCTAAAAATCAAAATACAGCATATGATCCTTCAACAATCTGCCAATTAAATTGCAATTTTTACCATACAGTACATCAAAAATACTTCTGACTTGCACAAGTTCAATCCATCTATTTCCAATGATGAAAAGTTCAGAGTGCAGATCACCAAATTTATATTAAGCAACAGTGCAATAAAACGGGTACATAACACGTGTCTTCCTTGCCGTGCGTTATAAGACATGTGTTTTGGACCTTTTATTTTGCACTATTTCTTATTTTAGGGCTGATGGACTGCACTCTTTTCTCTTTTCTAGTGTCGGAAATAGATGGATTGCACTTGTGCACTTTTATTTATTTATTTATTTTTCTTAAGCCCATGGAGCGTGCTCGAAAACAAATCCCCTGTGAACAAAAAAAGTGAAACATGTAAAAAAGTGCACAAGGGTGCTTGGCCCTTCAATAAAGAAGGGGCCACAATTTCCCGACCCCCGAGGCGCAAGGCTCCTGACAGGGGTTGAGACGACTATGGTCCACCAACCCGAAGGACAGTGGAGCCCGATCCCCCGGGACCTGCTGAAACAGGTCCCACAAGTACTAGGTTGGGGGGATCTCCCGAAGAGAAACCCCCCAGTGGTGGGAGAAGACAGAAAACCCTATACAAGGGCACAGAATCTCCTCCCCAACGACAAAAAGGCCCCGAGGTACCTGCACCCTTAGTCTCTGTGGGTCTGCCCCTCTAGGCAGCACTGGAAGAACAGAGAGAGGAGACGGGGGTCCCTGCAGGGGGTGGTGACTGACAGGGAGAAGATTGTGTACTGAGTGGTCAGAGGTATGTGATTGCTCAGTTCTTGATCAATAGAACCGACGTGCGACAGCTGCAGTGTCACATATTTCCCTTATGCCATAATTTGACTTTAAAGTTGAAAATGGTAACATGGTAACATGGTAACATGGTAACAAGTACCTTTATCATCAGGTATTTCCTACCCACATCCATATTCTTAAGCCTCTGTCCACTACCCCCTTCTGCCTGCAGCCTCCTCGGATAAGATCACACATCTCAGAAGGCTTCAAGCAGACATTCCCAGTTGGTGCATCTCATGCATGTGCAGTAGGGTTCTGACTATGAGTTATCAAGAAGTCTCAGTTGGCTCGTGATTCTAAGATGGTGGTGCATAAATGGAAACTGCGCTGAAGACTTCAGGTTGTAGGTAGACAGTGCTGAACCTCTGGGGCTGGAAAGTATGGGGTCTATTCACTAAGCTGCCGTAGGCAGCCGAGTGAATAACCGACCCGAAGCGAAGTGAGCCGAACGCATCAATAGCAAACTAGCAGGTCCCTCTCTGTGGGTGCAATAGCTAGTTTGCTATTAGCTATTGCAAATTGAAATAGCCAATAGGAATCTAGCTATGCATTCCTATGCTGATTTTTGTTTTTTTTGCAGGGAAAGGTCGATCGAGCAGAGTGAACCTTTCTGGGAGAAAGTGTTTCTCTCCCGGGTGGCCGGGAGTCGTATTAGACTCCCAGAGCGTCCGGGAGAGTAATGACAGATGGCGTTCCTGGTTACCAGGTAACCAGGAACGCCATCTGTCATTACACACTGAGAACGCGGAGAGGCCGCTCGACTGAGCCGCTTGGCCAACTTATAGTGAATAGCCTGTACAGCAGCCCTTCGGTTCTACTGAACCGAAGGGGTCCTGGGGCCGAAGCTAGCGGAAGGATCAGCTGAAGCTACAGCTAGATCCTTCGGCAGCATAGCGAATAGACACCTATGTGTTTTTTTAAAAGTCATCAGCCCTTTATAAGTATTTTTGATATTTTGAAACACTGAAATAATGAAGAAGTAGGAAACTGTGGGCTCAATTGGAGAAAGCATAATATTAGGGATGCACCGATACCAAGTACAGTACTCGGTACAAGTACAAGTACAAGTACCGATACTTTTCCAGCTCCAAGACTAGACTAGAGAAAAATTCAAAAATTAAGAGGCAGCTGTCATTTGTAAGGACTATACGGAGCTCCTGGGATTTGTACATCTCTGTTTTAATGTATGATTTTGTTTTTATAAATATAAATAAGTGATGCATCGATACCAGTTTTGCGAGTATGAGTACTGGTACTTGCTGAGTACTTACAAGTATGAGTACTGATACATTTTTGTTTATTGTCATGTGACAGTTTTTCTAAAATAATACAGATTAATGATTTCAGGACAGTGGTGGAGCGCCAGAACAAGGTCCCAACTGCAACCCTGGTAGTTCTCATGAAAATGCCAAGTATCTGCACTGGTACTCGAAAAGTATTGGTGCATCCCTACATAATATCAATGTGAAATATTTTATATTTACCTGACAAAAAACGAAATATATTTTGTTTTATTTTTTTAGTCCTCATTATAATAAAGGAAAATATATAGAAAACCACTGCACCAATTATTGAGAAATACAGCACATGTAAATATCCTTATCAGTATGTGTTAGTGTATTGTAAAGTATATGTACTTTGTAATTAGGGCATCTATCTTTGCTCATTACATGTTCAGGATTAGCTTACTGCTTGTCAAGGCTACACAGTGATTGTGCTGCATTGCTCCTTCTCACAATGCAGGTCTAGCAGGGTTATTCACAAAAGGGTGAAGAGTTGGGAGAAGACAGGAGAAGTGAACAATCTAGGACAACATAGCTGAACTGAAAAGTGAGCAGAATTGGAGAATTTTTCCAAATCAGCTATTTTGGCCTAGATTGTTCACTGCTAACACAAAAGAGAAGTCTGCTAATACAAAAGTATTCACCCCATGCAACATGAAATATTTGTTAAGAGAGGGATGCTAAGCCAATGAAACTACCCTCTAGTGGCTAATCTACATAATTTATGTTTAATAATATATTCAATATATTTATTAACAAAAGTATGGAGAGCGGGCTGTAAATATGTGACAGTCAAAAAAAAGCTTTAAATGTTACAATAAATATGCTCTCCCTAAAAATACACAATTATTTAGTAACGACAAAGCAATGAGATTGTAACAAATGTAATGCAATGTCCATAAAACAGAAAGTAAAAGTAAACAGCATTTAAAGTCACTGTCAGCTGCATAGAAAACAACTTCTAGAGATTGTTCCTGAAAGTTGTTCCAGGCATCTGTGACAATACAGAGATTTTCAAGTAAGTGATCCATTACTTTTTACAATGAGAAATGATCTATGGTTCTATGGGAGTAGAGTAAATTCTCATTGTAAAGTGAAATTTTATTGAGCTTAGTAAATGAGGTGAAGCTATGCTCTTTATTTAAGAAGAAGAGTCCTTTAGTTTTTCCATAATCTTGTTACAGAAATAAGAAGAAATAGCAAATATAGAACCAGACAAGTACAGAACAAAACAGAGTGGCTTACAAAGCTCAGCAATATTAAAATGTGATCAATGAGCCAGTTGTTACAGAAATAGCATAGGATAACTGTCAAGCAAGCCTTAGAATACTGCAGTTTAGTATGCAGTGGAAATACTTAAGATGTCCAGTATATTGAAATATAGGAGATACGTTCAATAAAAGAGGACATTTATGATAATAAAGTACAGAGTTCTAGTAACTGCTAGGTCTACGTGAGGGTCATCAAGTCAAGTAGTTCCAATTTCCAATATTCCACGAATACTCATCTTTGGTTTGGGAGAACAGTGAAGGATAAAAACACAGTTAAGGGTTGCAAACACAACATTTTCTTTTCAAAATTATTTTCAACTAAGCTTCACCTCATTCCCTTTGCGATGTGAATATGCGCTAATTCTTTAGTAAATCAATCCCAATGCTAGATACAGTCGAAATGGTTTTAAATGGCAGACACCAATTCTTAAAAATGACAATGTACCTTGAGGTTTAGATGTGCTGAAAGGCTTCTGGGTTGGTTTTGCTGGCATCGTACTACTGCCTGGCTTAGATTTGGTGGTTGAATGCTTAGTCATGGGTCGAGCAGTGGTGACTTTGGAATTAGTTGTCCTTTTAATGCTGCTGATGGTAGTAACAAAACTTGTATGTGTTTCCACTGGTGTGGGTGCTGAGATGACTCCATGAATCCAATTTCGAACTTTGCTCACTCTGACATAGACCCCGGGTCTTCTAGCTTCAGCACAACCCACTCCCCAGCTCACAATGCCTGCCAAAAAGAATTTGCCAGATGGCTCTTCGCAAACTAGAGGACCCCCTGAATCACCCTGCAATAAAAAAATGACATAAATTCATACTTGCATAGTAATATAAAAAGAATGTTAACTTCCGTTTTGCCACTGGGGATTCTGCCTCCAGTAGCAATTACTCCTTCTACTTCCTCTGTGTTTAACTATTAAGTGATCTCATTCTCCCAACATCTTCCCCTCTACTGCACAATCTTGTCCTGCCTTATAGTAGCTCTTCTCCACCTCCCAGGATCCCTGCACTCCCTCCACAGCTGCTCCCAGGAAGAAGATGGCAGTAGCAGCCGCAGAGCCTGGCACATCCTAGCAACCTGCCTCCAGGTTGGCAAGAGAGCTTTATGGAGCTAGGTTTCTGCCACTGGCCAGCCTACCCATTCTCAGCACAGGGCTAATTACTGTATGTGACTACAACATTAGGCATGAAAGCCGCCAGAAATGTAATCTCATTTTCGTTTCAGAGCCATTAGGATTTTTTTTATTTTCCGTTTTAGTTATCAGACCAGAAATTCAGATCAGTCCGATATTCAGATTTCAGATGGATCCAATATTTGGTTTTCGTATCTAATCAGATTGAGTTATTCACATTCACAATTTTAAAAAAACAGCGTGGGGTAAGTGTGGGATAAGGCCCCCTGCCCGCAGACTGCCACAACCACTGGGCCAGGATTGTGGGGAAAAGGCCTTTGTCCTCATCAACATTGGGACAAGGTGCTTTGCCAGGGGGTGGGAAAATTTGTATGCATCCGAATTTTGGGTACCGCAAAATTCGTATTTGTTTGAATTCATTATTTTTTCCATTCGGAAATTCAGATGCATCCGAATTTCAGAATATGCCAATATTCATACGAATTTAAACTTGGAACAAAACTATTTCTACATGTTTATACCACATTGCCACATAAAATTCCTTGTCCCTGCTACCCTGCACACATATACCAGTTCCTCTGCGTCCCCACCAGGTTTCTGGCTCCATTTCACACACCTGCCCTTGGCTAGGACATATATGGTTAGATTGTAAAGCTTTGTCCTTCTTCATTGCAACTGCTATGCATCCGACCCTCATATCACCTTTTATCTCTATTCAGTACTGTTTGGCTTTTAAAGTATCTCTAGAAAAGAGATCCCTATTGGAGATCAATGGCAAATCATCATTAAAAAGCCAGACAGTATATTTATTTTGCAATATGTAGAATGACCAGCATATATTTAGGAAGTAAAGTATGTATTATTTCTAAATATTGAATTAAATATGCAAGGCATGTTTCTTTTTCAGAAATACATTTGCAATTCTTTTTTATTTTACAAGTTCAAAGTTGCAATTGAAATAATTAATTGTGTTCAAAATTGCCTTTTTCCATCCCCGGTTATCTGAAAGGATATGATGACATGTCTCAGGCTTGGTTTTTCTGTTTCCAATGTTCATGGCCCATTGCACATAGGGATCAAGGCTCCAGGGCAGCCCCTGCTTGTCTTACAGTCCCCATTCACACCTAATCCTACAGCCACTGGCTGGCTATACAAACAGCTTTTTGTGCTTCTACAACAACTGTGATTCTCACATATCCCCAGCTCTTTGTCTTCTGTCTCCTATCATTCTCAAACCTTTTGCACTGATTCACAAACAATAATCTACTAAGACTTTTTATGCCCAAATAACACCACATGGCAAATTTTAAATAATATTTTATCTACACCATTTTTAAAACAGGAGTAAAGTCTTTTAAGTTCACCAAATGGCCACAACTTCCCTTCATCCCATAGTTAATTTTTTGGGCCTTTGATCCAAAAGAGCACAACAGGAAGCCTGTATGAACTAAAATTTAAATGTTCATATTTGAAAATACATAAATGCATTTTATGCATTTTTTCATTTAACCTTTCATGAGTCAAGGACTATCTGTATACATCACATAAGTTGCTTGCATCCCATAAGCCTTACCCATACCACCCAACTGTCCCTCATATGGAACCAAATCCCTTTGCCCCTCTTTCCTCCTCAGTTGTCCCTTTTTTTTTAACTTGGATGAACATCAAAATATATTATTTAAAGAAGGACTCCAGAGGAAAATTTCCTTAACCCTTGCAGTGGGGCTACCCCTGCACTGCAGGGGTTAAGTGCTCGTTTTGGTCTAGGTACAAAAAAAAGTTATACTGACTCAAGCCTCTATTCATCTACTTATGTGCATTAATCCGCCAGCTGCCACTACCCAGCACATGTACGCACTTACCAGCACGTATATGTTAACCCTTAGCAGGCAGTCCCTAGTGCATGTTCTGTGTCCAGTGCCTGTGTGCTAATCCCTCAGCACCCAGTCTCCAGAGTGTAATTCCACACATTTTTTTAGTACACCACACCAAATGTCAGTTTTATCTCTACTAGCTCGGATCCAGTAGTAATCTCTAAGACAGGTTAACCCACATGTGTCAAACTCAAGGCCCTGGGGCCGAATCCGGCCTACCAGGCCATTTCCTAGACTTCTACTTTCAGATCTAGGTATTAAGTTATTACTAAAACCAGTGATAATTGAATGCAGAGGTAATTATGATAAAGATTAGATACATTTATATAGTCTTACAGGCCCTTTGAGGGCAACCATAATGGTGATGCGGCCCACGATTAAATTGAGTTTGACACCCTTGGGTTAACCTCTTAGAGGTTAAGGCACATACTTTGGGTACTGAGTTCTGAGAGATTATCCTGCATGAGCTGGATACTGGGTGCTGAGGGGTTAACATACATGCATGGGGACTGAGCACTGAGGAGATAATGCACATGGGCTGACGAATGGGTGCTGAGGGGTTATCATCACATATGCTAAGCATAGGATGCTGAGGAGTTAACACACCTGAGCTGAGGACTGGGTGTTAATGGGTTAATGCTTATATGCTGGGGACAGGATACTGAGGGACTAATACACACACACAGAATATTCATTACTGTACGGAAGGAGGAAGAGTTGGCATGCACATGTTCTTGAAGCTGATGACATATACTGCAAACAGGTCACTGAGGGGTTAGAACTGATTCACATCAGTGGGTGTCTTCTATTGCATCATAGGGTGTTGAGACACACTGTGCAAAGTTGTAACATGTCCTATTTATTTTTCATTCCACACAATGCACTGTATTTGTGTAAGCTGAGACAAAATGACATAGGGCACAACGCTGCTCAATGCAGCCCAATGTGGCTGGAGTGAACAGGCCCTTAATATTTATAGGTTGGGTGTAGGTGACTGTAGACTTAACAGTCATTCTATGGTGGCTGATCATTGATAGGTTAATGCACATACACTGCAAACTGGTCACCAATGGATTAATGCACATATACTGCAGACTGGTTACTAATGGGTTACTTATTGCACATACTGTACTCTGCATGTATAAAACTGGATAGAGCTCTTTGTACTTGAGAGGCATCTTACTGCTGGTATAGATACGAAAGAGTGAGGTGTGTCATTATACACTTACACAAACTCCGCAATGGGAAACTTACTTCTGCTGCTGAACTGTGTGTGAGTGCCAAACCTTCGGATTGTGTGTCTGAGTTCATAGTGCAATGTCTATGGGGAGGACCAGGCCCGGATTCCCCACAAGGCCACGAGGCCCGGCCTCGGGGCGGCAGGGCGCAGAGGGGCGGCAAGCAGGACTGAATGTAGAGTGAGGCAGACGATTTTTCGTTTACATGTGAAATCGGCGCTGTCGCCGATTTCACATGTAAACAGTGTGCAGCCTTCTCCCCCTTCCCCATGCACTTACCTCTCTCCTTTGGTTCGGTCCTCCTCCGCCGAGTCCCGAGTCTATGACTGCAGTGAGCAGAGCAGCAGGGTTAAAAGTAACCCTGCCGCTCCGTGTAGACTGTAGACAGTGAGAGGGGAGAGCTGTGCTCTTCCTCTCTCACCTGTCACAGAAGTTCCAGCACAGTGCTGTGCTAGAACTCCTGTATTAGAGGTGACAGGGTCAATAAATGGAACCTGTCACCTCCAATTGCTATCACACAGGGCATTGTTTTCTCCTGTGTGATAGCAGTAAAGTTAGGTGGGGGAAAAAATTACATTGATTAAAAAAATGTTTTAAATAAATAAAAATTTTAAAAAAATATGAAATAATTAAATAAAAAGGTAATGAAAAGGGGAGGACATGGACAGTGTTCAGTATGCAGTTTGTGTGGTTGGAGTTCTGGAAGAGAAACTAGAGAGTGTGTGCTGCAGGAGGGATAAAGGAGAAAAGCCAATCTCAATGAGGAAAACAAATGTGTGTGTGCTGGAAATTGGATCTCACTGGGGAAAGACCAGTATGTGTGCTGGAGGCGTGATGTCACTGGGGAAGGACCAGGAAGAGTCTGATGTGCATAGTGACAAAATTAAACACTGGCTTAGGCAATATTCTCAACAGATAACTGAAACTGTGCAAGCGAAGTTCTGATTCATGCATTATATTAGATTTTTAATTTATTAAGGCCAATAAATAACACACGGTAAAACTGATTCATGTTATAAAACCTTCAGAGAATCAAAAACATTTTGATCATTAAAATTTGTGAAAGCACAGTAATGAAAATAACATAAGGGGAACCAAAACCCTTGTATCTTTTTGCAGCCAAATATGGTTGCCTGTAGTTACCTTGTTGCTGCACATGTGACCAGCTATAATACCAGCCTTTTCAGAGCTTCAAAAAGCTCATATAAGTGCATTGGCAACTTTGACATTTATCACCAGAGGCATGCCTTTAACCTCCCTGGCGGTATGATTATGGAGGATTTTAGCATGCCAAAGCGGTACATTGTTTTTCATGGCAATGTGTTGTTTTATATTGTAGGCCTGTAATTCTTAGTAAATCTTAGGAATAACTCACCTAAATCTGTCCAAACAAGAGTCTAGTAGAACGGGCTCGTAGGGACAAGGTAAGTGACACTTTTGCACAATCCCGAGTGTGGCTCGGGGTTAGCGCTCTTGGTACTGAAAATTAACCCCGAGCCACACTCGGGAATACCGCCAGGGAGGTTAAAGTACATACACTGAAGGGAATGTATCAAACCTGGAGCAGACAAAATCTGGAGTAGCTGTGCACGGCACCTAATCAGTTTCTCTTTCATTTTCCAATTGTAACTGAACAAACTGAAAAGAGAAGCTGATTGGATGCCATTGGAAACTGCTCCAGATTCTGTCTGCTCCAGTTTTGATAAACTGTGTATGCATTAGTAGTCCAAAGATAAATGAAATCACTCCAGAAAACAACACTGGTATGCTCTAAATTGGGCTTTCTTTTTTGTAAACAGTTGGATCAGTGGGTTTAGTTCTACTTTAAATATAATGGGGGGGAATGTATCAAAACTGGAGCAGACAGAATCTGGAGCAGCTGTGCATGGCAAACAATCAGCTTCTCTCTTCAGCTTGTTCAGTTAACATTTGAAAATGAAAGAGAGAAGCTGATTGGTTGCCATGCACAGCTGCTCCAGATTTAGCTGCTCCAGTTTTCCAATTCCCCTCATTGAGTATTATGGGTAACAACGTATCAACTTGGTAAAAAGTAGTTTGTTATAATGAATCTCCAGCGCAAAGCTTTTGTAAAATGTTCTTAAAATAGGAATGCATTGGGAAAAAATTGTAGAGTGTCAAATGAAAATGGTATGCTTTTAAATGAAAGAAATACATTAAATGAAATAATCACACGCTCCTGGAGCTGCCGGCGTGCACGAGGCCGCCCTCGAGCACGTTACGGCTCCTATTTCCATCGCTTCTTGGGGTACTGATCTCTACCTGGTTCATTTCCCTGAATTTTGGGTTCCGCCCGCTCTGGTCTGGCTGGATGCACATGATACTCCTATATAATTGATTTCCTCCATCTCCTGAGGAAGCTTTGAGTTGAGACTCACATGACTCCTCAATCTCAATAGCGAGGGCTGGTTTGAATTAATTGAGAACCTTCTTGATTTCCTCTTCATGTATTGTTTGCTGTTTCTTATTCATCAAATGCTGCTATAACCCAGATCCACCAATTCTGGTTCTAGAGACATGTGCAATATTGACTAATCATAGATTATATTACTTGCCTTAATGCTAATATGGAGTAGAGTGATGTATAAGGAGGTATCGTGTTGGAGGTTCGATTTTAACTATCTATATATTAATTTTTCAATTATTACACAAATAAAGGAATATTTTTATACAAGGTGGATGTTTGGATTTGTCAATTGGTGCCTAAAAAAACCCCATCTTTGCTATTTGGTTTGTATCGGTTTCTCAAGGGTGTGGTGCCTATTACTCAGGTCTTGGTCACGACTTCTTTTGTTTCCACATGATCTGGCAGTTTATAGCTGGATCAGTGAGTGGTCATATGTTTGTAGGAACCTCGACAAACATATCTGACCTTCCCGGTCCAAACCAGTAGATACATTGAATTTAGACCAAGAAACAATTAAACATTGTGATTTCTAAATGTAAAGATGACCATGAAAGATGTGAAAAATGTTGTTTTTTGTCTCAGATATTAATTTCCAAATAGTGCATTGTTTACCTGACACGAGTCAATCTTGCCTTCCAGGTAACCTGCGCATACCATTCTGTCTGTTACCACATTGCTGTATAAACTGTTGCAGAGAGTTTGATCCATGAGGGCCACTGTAGCTTTCTGTAGAACTTCAGGTTTTACTACTGAAAGGAAAGAAGGTGCATCTTAAAGCCCAATTGAACTTTCAGTTTAAACCAGCTAAATTATCTCCAGGTGCAAAAAAAACCAAAATATGTTTAAACCTTTACAGTTCATTTTCTTTAGAGGTCAACCACAACCTGAGTAGAAAAGCCTGTCCCTGCCAGCACTCTGCAAAGAAGGAACCTTGGTTTCTCCGTGGAAGCAGCAGACTCTCTGCAGCGGTCTGACGTGCCCCCTGCTGAGTCCAAGCTAAATATCTCCAATCAGCAAGAAGCACTTTTCTGATTGCAGAGTTATAGGTCTGACTCAGAAGGAGGTGTGTTGAACTTCTACAAAGAGACCACTGCTTCCACACAGAGAGACAGTCCCTCCAAATGAGAGAGAGTTGGGAGGTATGAGGAAGTGGCTGTGGCTTTAGAAAGAAAATGGAATGTAAGACATTATACTCTTTTTGTTTTGATGCAGCTATAATGTTAGGGCCACGAAAGAAAAAGAAGAAAAGTGGCCCCATGGGATTGTTGCACCTATCAGCCATGTGTTTTTAAAAACTAATTATAGTCAAATACAGGTCTGTGGTTAATGTCATGTACATGTCTCTATGGGACTGCTTTGCTGGTTCTTTCTGCTTTGGCTTTCAGGTTACAAGCTGCCTGCTGTTGCTAGGAAGATTTACCTCAGTTGGTGGACAGACCATCAGTCAGCTAAGCACAGGATTGGTGACAGACTTTTGGCAGGAAAACAGCTGACCAATGAGTGTAACCTTTCACCTCTATAGTAACTCCTGTCACTAGACAGTGTCAGCAGTTACCTCAGGACTGCCAGCTGCACTCACCTCTGGATTAGCTTTAGAATTCCTTTTGGATCTTTTCAACTGCTTCCCTGCCCACCCTCTCCTTTACTGTACTTTCCCTTGTCGCAGTCAATCTTTATGGGGTAATGTCGCCCACTTTGTGGTAAATGGTAATTTGGTTGGTGTAAGTTATTGCTGCTTGAGTCTTGGTGACTAAGCATGGTGGTCTGTTAATGGTTAACAGTTTGGGTAATGTCGCCCACTTTGTGGGTGGACAGTGGTTGGTAAACAGTAATTTGGTTGGTGTAAGTTATTTCTGCTTGAGTGGTACTGACTAAGCATGCTGGTCTGTTAATGGCTAACAGTGGTTTTGTTTGGTATTTATTGGTTAAATTGATTAAAACCCAATAAAGGGGCTGCGGCCTTTAGTTTTTTCACAATTATTGTTGTGTTTTACTTTTTTATTTAGGTTTATTGTTATGGTATGATGGGTGTCAATGGGGTGTACAATCCCATGGATTTAGCTTAACTGAAGATGCAATCGGGCTTTCATTTGTTAGTTCACAGTAGAAGTTAGTATGGGCATTGCACAAAGTGAAAAGTAAGACAATGCAATAATACATGACATTCTTAATTATAACATGAACATTTATTAGGTAATAACTATAATATTCAATGCATTATATGGAAACTTAGTTTGCATACCTAATGGGGTTCTCTTTAAAACCGTTCAGATAGCTGTTTCTAAGAAAATATCCTGCAATCATCTTTCTACTTCCCAAATTCAAACAAGTAATACATTACATTTTATTTTGCCAAACTATCTTTCAATTACTAGTATTTTCTAAAAGAGCATTCACTGATAATTTGCAATGACAGTCATGAAAAAAATACAGGGCAGTAATCTTTAACAGTAACCAACATCAAGGCCTTAGATGCCAAAATGGTTTACTCCAGACTCATTACCAAATTAGACCTAGACCCCCACCTCTATACCCAAAAATGCACAGCTGACCTCAATGTCATGCGTAAGAGGAAGACCAGGTCCAACTAAGCCTGGGCAACAATAAGGTCTTGATCACTAAATGTCACAGTCCTTGAAACAAATTAAAAGGTGCTTTTTTGTTGGTGCCTAGCCCCCCTAAGAGAGCTAAGTTTACCCCGGCTATCCTCCTCACTGCATTTGAGGATGCACTAAGCTGGGCTCTCATTCTTGGTGGAACTGCCATAAAGTCCATATGTACTGGACCAACATTTTTCATTATCTTCTTGGGCATTAATATTTCTCCAGACCTCAGCTTAGGAATCATAAATAAACACCCCCCACCAGATTTCACAAATGTTCTGTTCAAAAACACAGGTACTAAAAGTAGCCAAACAAAATATAGAAAAACTAAAAACAGAATTACACAAGCCATTATACACAAAAAGATTGAAGCTACCTTAGCAGACATACTAAGATATGACTGCCAGGCTTTGACAGCACCCTTCTGGAACCCACCTTTCCTGTCAGAGTGCATGATACTATAAAACACTTTGAGAAGCCCCATCCTCTGGCCTGGACTACCAAAACCTCACCTCCATCACACCCTCACCATCCTTCCTACTCCCCCCATGTCTGTCAGACAGCCCTTTTATGCATATGTTCATCCCTCTCAGAAAAGCATTTAACCTGACAACAAGATTTCTATTCTCATGTTTTACCCTACATGACAATGTACTGCTGTTCATCTTAAGATTTGCCTATCTTGTTAAACGCTGTTTTTTCAGAACCTAAAAAATCTGATTAAATCAGTCAAGGCAACTGGACTTGCTGTATTTTTCTTGAAGACCAGTATTTTTCTTGAAGATCCAACCAGCTTTCTCAATTCAGAATGGAGAATCTAGAATCAGAATCAAGAAAAATACTGGTCTGCAAGCAAAATATAGCAAGTCCAGTTGCCTTGACTTATTTGTTACAGATATACCATGACCTGGATGAATGAGAACCTTCACAGACACTCTGAGGCCTCATTAACACTGAGCGATTCGCAAATCGCGCAACATTGCATTTTGCGTGATATTGCGCGTTTGTCGCACGATATCGCGCAAATGCTTGCATTGAGCAAGCTAGAATCGCGGCAAAATCCGCTTCAAAAAGGGTCCTGCTGTAGCGACGCACAACCCGCGACAGCGACGGACAGAGCTCCATTGCCATGCATTGGAGAGCGATATCGCGCGGTAAATAGCCGCGATATCGCCGGAATTACCGCGCGATAAATCGCTCAGTGTGAATGTGGCCTTAGACCAATTGCACTCCCAGTTTACTCTTTATTAGTTGCTCTATATCAAAACCTGTCTGGATCTTTTACTATGGTATTTTCATAGCTAAGTTAATAAAGTTTTTAATTTATATAATTAAATATCCATATGAGCTACTAAGTAGACAAACTAATGAGCTCTTAAAGTAGATAGTTTTAGATATATATGGACAGTATGTTGTTTCAGATCTCCATATTATACAATCTTTGTTTTATAATCATTATCCTTACATAATGACCTGAAATCTTAACCAAAGAACAATGGGCAGAATTATGGCTAGCTATACCAAGGTCTATAATAACACATGTCTTACAGTTGTCTTCCTTGAGGTATCCCCAGCCAGTGATGACACATTTCTTGCCCATAGGGAAGACGTGAGTGGCAGCAGGGAGGCAGATCGGTTGGGTGTATTTGTTGAATCGTAGTTCAGAATCCAGTTCTAGAACAGCCACATCATAGTCTGCTGTATCTGGGTCATAAGATGGGTGCTTAACGATGTTTTTGATGTAAGCCTTCACTGCGCTGCCATCTAAGCCACTTAAAGATGTAGATCCTATGTAAGCCACCCAAACAGCTGGATCCTGAAAACTGAAAAGTACTTGTAAATAGAGGACATGGCAAAATGTAAAAAGGAAAATGATGCCACAACAGTAAGGCAGTAGCATTTTATATAAAACCACAATTTTCGCACTTTAAAGGAAATGTATAGTATTTTCAATGTTTTCATTTTAGATATACTGTATATGTGAAAGAGATCAGCTTGATGTTAATAATCTTACTGACCTGTGTTAATGTATAAAAAAAACTTGTGAGTATGTACAGTTTGTAATTATATATGAATGTGGAGACATCCATACTGGCTTACTACATGTACATGCTCCACTTCCCGCTTTGCAGTACTACACAGTAGTTCTGCTTTTACATTTCTTTTCATAATCCTTGTCTATGGGTTGGCCGATGGAAAACAATGCACTCTACATGGCTGATATCTTATCTTAACATTTGTAAAATCAGAAATGAATATGTTTTGGACTCCCAGGGCTCTTTCCGTCTATTGGGGTCTATATGGGGTCTATTCACGAAGCTGCCGAGGGCAGCCGAGTGAATGACCGATCTGAAGTGAAGTGAGCCGAACACTGTTCGGCTATTCACTTCAGGCTGGTACGGCTGATTTTAGCCGTACATCGGCTGAAATCAGCTGTACATCGGCTTGCTTCGAGTGGCTTTGGGTCGGCCGAACATGCTCAGCATG